ACAGGAAGAGAGGAGTGACCAGTAACATTTTCGTTGTGCCATGTGCTGTGTGCTGATGTTCAGCTAATTAGAAGAATTATGGCTTGGCTTCATTGGTATGCCATGTATGTAGCTTGTAAAGCTCTCAGGGACTCTTGGAGATGAAGAGTGCTACATAAATATAAAATATTGTTAATGTGATGTTCCACATTAGGCGTCCCGTTGTGCTGAGGCAACCCTGCATAATAAACTGCAAGGCAAATAGGAATGCCTACCTGGCATTTCTCTGTAAGGCGATCTGAGGGGCTGCGTCTCCTGAAACCACACCAGCTTCTGGCATTTTTGAATGACTTGTGTCTGCACTGGCAACATTGTCATGGGCATTGCCTCTGAAGGGTGCCGTGGATCATCTTGCAGTGACGCTGCTGCTCACCAGCCCAGAAAAGCAGGTCCTGAAAGGATTTCTCAGGAAAGGTAGCAAGGAAAGTTATGAAAACACTCTCTTAACAAAACAAAGCCAGTGGCACTACTTGATTCTTCACACATTTCTTCACACAGCTCAGGCCCTAAAGCTTCCTTAAAGGAAAAACCTAGGCAAGAAATCTTGCATTTAATTCTTTTTTTTCAGTTATAATTTTGCAGTTTGTCTGGTTCTTCAGGAACGCCAGTTTTGAAACAGGTGTAGCTGAAGCTGTCTTTCAATACCTATTTTTAGACATTGAGACTTTTAGAGCTAGTTTCATTTTAAATAGTCTTTAAATCACAGATTTTAAAAAGGAAGGAAATATTTGTGTTTCTTTCAGATGACTTTTTTTTAGATCCTGAAACCATATGTAAACAATTCACAGTCAATTAGAACTCATGCTGATTTTTTCTGTTGTTTTCTTAAACACACTTTACATGCTAGCTTTGTGTAGCTATGTAACATCATTTTAAGGAGCTCTTCAAACATAGTGCAGCGAATGTCTTATTTGAATGGCCTTCAAAATGTGCATACAGATAGAATGTGGGGTTTTCCCCTCAGTTTCTTTAAGCATTTTTTTCTAAATTCATCATACTGACAAAAACAGTCTCATGACACTACCAAATTTTAGCAGGGGAGGGATAAAGAAATAGCTATGGCTGTATAATCATATCTTTGTTTACTTTTAATTCTGCAAAGATACAGGGTGAAACTCGAGCCTTAATAGACATTTTTCCAATTACTTGGATGGAGCCAGGATTTCACCCCACAGCATTGGAATTCTATGATCACGCACATCCCAAAATCTGGAGAATTTTATTCTTAAAGTCCTTGCTGCTCTCTGATGCACATAAAACTAGAATGTGGTCAGGAAGCTTGAAATCACTAGGTAGCATCTCCACCTCCCAGGAGAAAAACTAGAAAAAGCTGATAGCCACTGTTTTGGGTCGGTCCTAGTTTTTCCATAAGCAATGACTCGTTGTTTTAACGCTAGTGCTCATCTTGGAAAATTGCATAATTCACTTCTTGAACATATGTCTGCATTGCTGGCTGCCTGCCCTTCCCAGGTGCATTTGTGGATGTGTGAAATCTGAACCGGCCCCACTGTGCGGAGCATGTTCTGAACTGAAAGAGCCGAGTATTTAACAGCTGCATACCCAGCTATCACCTTCTTTTTTGATGAGCATTGGCTCCTCCATTGAATGCATTTATATAAATGTGGATTTATGTATTTGTTTAAGGACTGCACAGATCTTTGTGTTGAATAAAGGTGACCTAAGGAGTAGAGCCTCCTTTCTGGGAGTGGCTTGCAGGCATGACTTTTAAGTGTGGTTATTAATTTGAAGAATTAGAAAAAAGTCAGTGTGGCACAGCTCTGTGATGTTACTATTTTTAATTGGATTTTGAAGTTCATAATTAATTTCTTAAGAAGGGTGAGATCCTGGTCCTGTAGAATTGAGTGGGAGTTTTGCCACTGCCTTTAGCACAGGGGAATTCACCGTCTATTCTCACTAATGCTCTGCAACAACAACCTAGCACATGGAAAGGATCCTTCCCATTTTTCTCCCTCCTATTGCCAGTAGTGAGTCAGGAGGACCCTCCTTCCTTCTTCATTCCCATCTACATATGTGCACTTTGGCAAGAGACGCTTCCATTTCATCATCGTGTAAGGTGAAAGCAGCCATTAAAGGAGCGGTTTGTTCTTAGTCTTCATGTGCAGAGAGAGGCAGGTCTCTCTCTTCCTTCCCTCACGTGCTTTTGAGTAGCTGCAGGAGGGCAGGAAGTCTAACCTCTTAGAGTTCTCTGGGTTAAAGAGCTGTCTGACATGGCTTTAAAGGTCACTGTGCTCCTTTGTATTTATCTTGTGCCACTCAGAGCACAGTATGCCAGCAGGCTGTAAGGAGCACAAAGAAGTACTGCCTGACATTTTGCAGAACAGGGCTTGGGTTACAGAGGAAAAGCATCTGAAAACAAAACTCAGCTCAGCAAGGCCAGAGCTGGAACACTTGAGAGAGGAGCCCCTGCAGCAAGTAACAGAGATATGTGGCATCCTGTGGGTTTACCAGTAATAGTGCCTGGCATTTCTGTCTCCCATAACCTGTGTATAGCACTGTACATTTTCAAAGCTCCTGACAAATGTTAACAAGCCAAACTCCACCTCAATCCCGATAGCGTAATAATTTCACAGAAAGCCCGGGATATTTTTCCTTCACCCTTCTGCTCTGTAGGTGACTGTATCCTTCAGACTCGCTGTACCTGCCAGATTTGGCTGAGCAGTCATCTTCTGCATTTGCTTTGCAGCATGTGTAGCAAATGCGCTGCAAGGCACTTTGTCTGCCTTGCTGTCTCCACTGCAGTGTAGGCACTAGAGAGCGTCAGAGAACCAAGGAAGCTGAATTATCATTGAGGCTTATTTACTGACAGCTTTTAAAAATAATGCATGAACTGTTCAGACAAAATCAGTGTGCCATCACAGGCAAAGAACCAGGGCTGGGGAAATCCCTCTTCTCTGAGAAGAGGAGAGCAGATGCAGGATGCCAGATAGGGTGTCAAGGGCTAGCGGGGACAGTGCTGCAACTGCAGCTGTAGTGTTTGGGACCAGCACTGGTGACAGTGTTTGAGTTACAGTTGAGTAGCCAGCCCAGAAACAAGACACCAGCACTTGGCTCACTAACAAGAAGTTTCTTGCTTTTTATTTTCCTGAAGAAACCCTATTCAAAGAATAAAAGAACAAGAGGCGAGTCTGCAGAGATGACCAGGCAGGCACATTCTAAGTGGGGTAATGTTATTGTTGGCGCAGTCCATTGTCCTGTTGGGCATTTTCCCGTGGGTGACTGTGACACACAGCAGAGACATCCAGGCTGGCCTTTCTGCATTCAGGGACTGTGGGACAAATGGATATTTTGGTGTAGTCTTGCCAGCTGCTACCCCCTCTTCAGAGCTTCACCTCAGTTGAACTACTGAGCCTAAGAAGCTTCTCAGAGACCAGTAAAATGGCTCAATTGCAATTAAGGTCTCAGCCCACTCTGCTGTTCTCTCTGGGGTGGATGACCACTGGGCAGAAGAGCTGCCTGTGCAAAAGAATTCTGCAGAAATTCACCCGTGAGAAAACAGCATTTTTTCATGTATTTTGATGCAATTCTCTTGCCCTTGTCACTTTTCTTGCTCTTTTGGCCTCTCCAATTTGTCACCATGAAATACATAGGTCTCACAATAATCAGATCTCACTCCTTTTCTTGCTGAATAGACACACCAAATATAGAAATCTGTGTCTCTGCACTGTCTGCTGTGGTCAAGTGATTGTTTCGTGTGACTGGCCTAGGGGGTCATGCAGACTGAAACCTCAGTGTGGTCCATGGTGGGTTTTTAAAGATCACTTTCTTAGCAATTTTAAGAACAAATAATTAAGTAATAATCCCTTCTCTGTTTATAATTCCTAGCTTAGAAGCTTGGTAGTGAAAGTGATTTCTTGTTTGCATTTTATCTCAGCTCTCTCCTAATGCATCCATACGGTCCTGACTGCACAGGGAAGAGTGACGTGGAGTTTATATAGGAGGAGATGCACTGGAGCATTTGTCCTAGGGGGGAAGATATTAAATTTGAATGCACACCAATGGATGTGCACTGAATAAGAAAAAGGGAGTCATGAGACCTTGGAATTCTTCATCAGAAGGTGCTAAGACTCCACAGATGTTACACCATGGCAGACTTTGATTCGCAGAGACTGATTTGCATTAGAAGATTGGTAGACGTGAACACAGAATCGTGGAGTTCCTGAGTTGTTAGGGATCTACAAGCATCGAGTCCAAATCCTACCATCAGACTAGAATCTCTCCTGTCTTACAACTGCACTGTTCCACTTCCTTCCATGGCACCATTAATATTTTGGCAGAAACAGCTGATAAAGGTGTTGTGCAAAAAGCCTGAAGGACTAGCTGATTTAAAGAGGGAAAAATGTAACCTCACAGAGTTGCTGCCTGACACATAATTTCTTGAACCAAGGAAGAGCTATTGTTGTCAGAAGCAACTAAAGAAGGTGCAGTCCTTGAGGGCAGCAGGCACAAATGCTTGGGGGGATCATGCAGGGGGTAAATAGCGCCGAGGTAAAGCATGCAATGCAGTAGCGGTTGTCACTCTGGAGTGGTGTACATCTGCAGAATGTTCAGATGTTAGTACAGTCACTCAATTACCACAGTAATTCATCTGGCAAGGGTAGAGAAAACTGAAAAGCTGTTTGAGAATCAAGCTTCAGCCACACAGCTGCATAGACATTTGGGGACATTCTCAGGGTTTCTTTGAATGGTAATTGCCTGGTTTTGTTAGAAATGGGAAATAAGATTGTGTGAGAATTTTAGCAGTGATAAAATTTGGACTGGAACTGTCCTCAGTACAAAACATCATCAGCCCTAAGCTGTTTCTATCCCACACTGGCCACGAATTGTGTGATGGGCTAACCTGCTTGAACGGGTCAGAAGCAAGGTGGGAGAACACAGGGCTTGCAAATTGAGTGCTCAGTAATTCTGCTGCCACGCTGACTGTTCTCTCCTCCCCTCTGCAGGTGAGAAGCCTTACAAGTGCTCGTGGGAAGGGTGCGAGTGGCGTTTTGCACGGAGCGACGAGCTCACAAGGCATTACAGAAAGCACACGGGTGCAAAGCCCTTTAAATGCAACCATTGTGACAGGTAATGCAGCCTCCTAATACGGTGTTCAAGAAATGGGGAGTTTTGTCACTGGTATGGAGTTGCCAGCTCCCCAAGACAAGAGACCTGGCTCCCAGCAGAGAGAGGCCCCTTCTATTCTTCTGTCCCACTGCCTCAATCCCTGAACCAAGGAGAGGCCCTCCACTTTTCCCCTATCTTCTCTGCCTTGGTGGCCAGGCAGGCTGGCAGATGGGGAATACTTCCTAAGCAGTCTAAGCTGTTTCCATCCCACAGCACAGAGTAAAATGTGGGACCAGGTGTAGGTCTGACTGAATCCTGCTGGTGTCTGTTGTGGGCATGGGATTCAGTCCATAGGGCAGCTCTTAGTAATACCTTCAAAGCAGAAAGGACATCCAAAGGGCCTTAGACCTTTCATTTCAGTGATGGACCTCTCAATGGAGCATCTCCAAAGCTTTCTGTCTTCTGGTCCCATGAGCCTGGTGCCCTGACAAAGGTAGAGCTCCCTCTCTTTGCTTTGCTTCCAGGACTAACCTGAGCACCACTGCTGGCTGCCCACATTTGGCATTTGGCTCTTGTGCCACAAGTGCCCCAAATTTATAGGAAACCTGTAGGAAAAAAGCACTTAATTTCTGTATGATCACTGTCTTCCTTACCACTGAGTCCAACGTGTTTCAACCCTCAGGATGTAGCAGGGGAGAGTCAATAAAAGATGACAAAGGGCACCACTTTGAAAAGCACAAGAGTGATTTCGACACATCTTGGAGGTTCAAGTTTGTGGGGTTGTTTTGTGAAGATCAGATCCCTGCACATTCCTGCTAATTAGTGAATCTTTTCCTACAGTTTTAAATCTCACCCTTGACATCCGTTTGAAGTGGGAAATGCTCTGCACCTTCATTCTATGTGGGCCCGGATTTAAAATCCTGACAGGTGCCCAGAGCCAAAGTTCCCGAAGAGCCTGTCATGCACCAGTCCTCCTCTGGGCACTCAGAAATGAGGTGTGAGCTCAGCACCCAGCATCTCCCAGTGAGAGCCACTCACTGCCAATTCCTTTTTACAGTTTTTTAGAGCTTCAATGAAAGCTCAGCTCGCCTGAAAAATCTGGTCATCCTTGCTTGGTGCTGAGTGCTTTTGAAAGCTGGGTTCTTTGAATTTAGAAACAAAACTGAAAGAACACCCTTCTCCGCACCCCCAATCCCAATTGATAAGAAATCAGGGTGGAGCAAAAGCAATTAGCCCTGTAATGACTCTTGACAGCACTGACAGGATCGAACAATGAGTACTTCTCCCCCTCGAACCCCCCCAGTTGAAGATTGGCAGTGCCCTGGGTGAAACCTGGATCCACTATTGAGTAATCAAATAATGTGCTTGCATCTGAACATGTTATCCAGCTAATCCTATTTATATATATTTTTAAAAGAGGCTTAAGAAAATTACCCATCTTTTTAATGCAGCACTAAGGTTCTCGGCTGTGATAAGGAAACGTTTTGTAATACAATAAAGGCTCTAGGAAGCCTCTGGGTACACCAGACCGACAGAGAATATGCGTGGAGAGAGGATGTGTGGGACATAAACAAGAGACCCCATCCTTTTATGGGAAGGAAATTTGATCATTTTCACATCCTGCCTTTCCAAGAGCTTCATCTCCTTAAGTGCTCTTCTGCCCTTGTCTCCCCTCTTCCCGTCCCCCTTCCCCCACGGAGGGCTTCCTCTAGGATTATCTTTTGTTTTATCCCTGGATTATCTTTTGTTTGCTCAGAATGAGGGACAGGATAAGCCAAGTAGGGACCTCTGCAGTTTTGCTTTTGTTTAAGCACCCCTGTGAAAAACAGTTGTGTTCTGTGTTTTAAATGTAAGGAATTGTGTTTCTCTTTTCATTCCTCCAAAGAAGAAACTAAGCATCGTGGCCCCACAAATACACACACACACGTACACACAAAGCACCAGGGTTTCTGTGTCAGGACAAACAATAGTTCTAGTGGAGGTCTAAAGAAATACAGTCAGTATTTTCAACTCCTTGATCTCTTGCAGCCCTTTGTTAAGTGTTCATTATTCTCCCTCCACGTATTATCCCTTCCTATCTAGCTTTTCTCTTTGGCAGCAAACTCAGTCACTGCAGTCAAGAGATATATTCCTGTAATCATCTAATGCATTTTCTGCTCTTCTGCTGAATCTGTAGATGAAGGAAAAGTACTATTAATAAAGTTAAGAGTGCTGGGGATTGTGCTCTGTTAAACTCCATGCCCATACCATCTGTGTGTGGTGATAGGAGACAGATTTGTCCTTACTCTCCCAGTTAGTTGATGCAAGCTTGTAGAGTGCAGTTCCTGTTCTTCTTCTGTTCCACTCTGCCATACTACTATTTTTCCGTCTTTTCTCATTCCCAGATCTCTCTACGACCACCTACTGCAGGTGTCACCTCAAGCAAGCACTGAAACATGAGCCAAAAACTGGCTTTAGCTATTTGGGCAGACTTTCAATGTTAAAGATGCTTCTTCCTTAGCCAGAGTTCCATCTGGGGAACAGTTTCTCTGTATTTGAACTGCTACCCTTTATTGCGCGCACCATTATTGGCACGAGCTGTGGCCACTCCCTCTGACATGCCGGCTTGTTACATTTTAAGGAGCCTGTTTGAACTCTTTTAACAACAGAGATGCAGCACAAAACCTATGCCTGTTGTTGTTCAGAGTTGAAGGCTGTATCTTGGCAATCAGAGCATGAAGGGGGTGATTCAAATAGCAAAGGGGAATATTGTTCACACAATCTGGCTGCAGTTCCCTTCCAAGGCTGATTTCAGATGTGCTTGTCTCTCTGATCTTCTGGCCGATCTCAAAGGGGGATGAAAGTCCTCTATGTACAGGTCAGTTTTATAACAAAAGAGATAAGACATAATTCTCTTCTCCTGCTGTTCCAACCCTAACACGCCACCATGCAACCCACAGATCACATGGTTAGTTCTAGCTGGCAAACTACCACTGGTTTGACTAATATCGGATGTGCTGCAAATGCTGTGTGGCTTGATGGCAGTAGGGGAGAAAGGAGAATCAGCTAAAGTGGTATGGAAAGCAGTGTACAAGTCCTTAGTGCCTTCCAAACCCCAGGGTTATGCTGGTCATTAGCATTCCCCAGGAGTTTTGCTCTTCAGAAACACAAGCTAGGATTGTTCCTCACACAGTGCAAGCCCTCAGCACTTTAAGGGGAAGAGTTTGACAGGGTAGTGACACTCAGTTGTTCTGCATAAATATGTGTTTAGGAGATAGCAGCTTACTGCCAGACTGTTGGGGTGTATGTTCCTCTCTGCTTGCACATGCGCACATGGTTTCCTTGTTGACAGCAAGCTAAGAGCACACTTAGCTCGAATGAACACGTCTCAAAGTGGAAAATCCGCAGCTGGTAAGAAAGATGGCTGAGCAATATATTCTCTTCTCATTGTACTTACCTTCCCTCTTTCTCCTTCAGAGGCCTCAGTGCCGAGCAGTACTGTGTTGCTAAGGAGATAGAACAGAAAGAGAAAGGAAGGAATCATGTTTGTGCGTAGGGAATTTATGTGTCACACATCACTGTATGAATTTTATAATTAGAATGCCTTACTCTAGTGTAAGCTGGCCTTTCCAGGAAGAGCTGGACTCAGGAAGGGATGATGGAGAAGACTGTGATGTCCCCATGTACGATGTGCAGAGCTGGTCTGGAACTGGAAGTGGTGTAGAGCCAGAGGTACAGAGCAAGGTCTTGTCTCATGGGCAGGACTAGAGACCAGCAAGCTCCTGTTTCTTAATTTTTGAAGAGAGGAGTTTCCCTTTACAGCTTGTCCTGTGGAACCTCTTGTGCTGCTTCCTTTAGTCCCAGAAGGAAAGAAAAAATGTGCCCACTAATCGATAAGCTTTTTGACAGTGTGATTTAGCTGCAAAAATTTTGTAGGGACTGTTTTACTGCTGAAAATAAATGTCCACATCCACCAGCTTTACCAAGAGATAGAACTAACCAAATTAGTCAGCAGGAGAATGTGAAGAATTAGTGTTGTACCATTTTATTAGCTATAAACTAGTAACTATGGTACCATTTTATTAGCTATAAAATATTATAGGACTGAAAAATATACTAGATGCTAATATGGTGGTTACTGATGTGAAACGATGTATTGAATCTACATTTTAACAGCTCTCGCTGTGGCGTGACTCAGCCATACACTTTCCTGTGTTGCAGGTGTAATAGAGGCAATTGGAGAGGGAAAGCCATGCTGCTTGGGTGGTGGTCTTATGACTAGTCCTAGACTGAAGTGCCAGCTGGTGCATGCCTTTTGGCAGCCACTCAAGCTGTTGTGTTTTTTTGGCAGCCCTTGTAGTCAGAGCATACTGCTTTCTCAGTTTAGACTGGTGAGAGAGATGATGGTCCAAGGGTGCATTTTGGCACCCCGGGGCTGGGAAATGCTGGCTATGTGGAGCCTGCTGTGTTGAAAGCCCAGTGTCCAGTGTCAGATTCATGTCTGTCTTGCTGAGTTTCATGTAGGACCTTTGAAGAATGCAGCCTCCATCCTATTTAGAAGTCTCTAGTTTTTGCCATATTGAAGGTATTAACCCCCTTGTAAGCAGCAAGTAGAGAAGAGCTGACATGAGAAGTGCTATGCTCATTTGTAGAAGAGTATATGATTTTTCTTGTGGAAGTTGCCATGTTGAAGTGTTTCTTTGTCTTAGAAAAGCACCTCTTGATCACTCATCTCTCCATGTAGAAGCAGATAGATTACATGTGCAGGGGAATACTTCCAGCAGGACAAAAACCACCTCCTAACTATTTGAAATATCTTCATTTTTATAGTTCTCCTCTTTCTCAGCCTTTCTTAGGGTGTTTATCCTCTGGGTATTTGCCTTTAGACTGAGTGTTCTTTTTTTGTCTTTTGGTAGTGGCTTTTTTTCCTGGGTAGTTCAATTTGTTCTTTTACCTTTTTCTTTCTGAAAAATTCAAAATACTCAACTACAACTTATTTTGAAATAACTATGTGCCAGTATATAAGCTATCTCAATGCTCACAATAAGCCTTTTGGATATTCTCTGTCCATTATTGGTGGGTATTTTATACTCTAAATCTGTGGGGAAGTGAAAAGACATGTCAGGCAAGTCTGTTCTGGAAGTAGCTTTTCATGGTGCCCTTTGAGGCTACAAAACCAGTTTACTCAAAAGCCGTAGGCATGTGGGGGTTTATGTGATATTTATGTGCTGTTTTTTTTAAAAAAATAAGCCGTTGTCTTGTGGCTTAGGGTGGAAAGGAGGCAAGCCAAGATTTGCAGGGAACTTGGACAGCTCCTGTTTTTTAGTGCTCAACTTGAGTTACCCAGAAGAAGTTTAATTTCTGAAAGTGTCTTGAGTCCTGCCACTGTGACAGACAGGCTCCATTTTTGGGCAGTGGGGTAGGCAGCCGGAACCACTGCCTGCTTGTCCCACAGTTTGCTCTCTCGTGCCATGCGTATCGTAAATGACACTGTGGTGGTGGACGTGAAATGGATTGGTGCTTTCAATCCCAAAGCTCAAAATAGAACTTTTACTTACTGGCAGTCTTGATAGAATAAAACATATATTGAATGACAAGTAAGAAAAGCCCTTGTCCTCCTGAGAACTTATTCCCCTGATTGCTGTGACAACGTCTTGGTTCTGTGAAGTGCCTGAATTTGGGCTACTGTTGCTGCTGCTGTGAGTGCCCGACAGCTTGCTACTACAAGGCAGCTGTTCTAGAATACGAATTTCTGATTAACTCTTTGTGGGGTTGCTCTTCTCCTGAAGTAAGTGTGGTTTATGCTGAGTTTCTTAACTCAGAGATGCTTCATTTCAAGTTCATGCTGTAAGTTATTCTCTATTAACTGCATGTTTAGACCAGTCCAAAAACTCAACTAGTTCTCTGGAGTTGCTGCTCTAAGTCCATCTCATCAGTATCCAACTACACATTCAGAATGTCAAAAAATTATGTTTTCTTATGAGATGATAAAAAATGGCTTTGTGGATAAAGAACAGAAGTTGGAAGCTCAAGTCCTGGCTTGGTTTTTTTTCTGGTTTTACCACACTTCTTGTGTGATTTATTATTTCCTTGCCTTCTCTGTCTCTCAATTCTCATTCTTATGATTTAGGCATAATACTTTGTCTTCTGTCAACATCCTTCAGGGAGATAGCCCTCATCAGCATCCACATATTAGCATCCACATTCCCAGCAGAGAGAAAGAGAGAGATAAATAGCCTGATGGATTGTTAGCCTCCAAACTCTGAACCAGCTTTCCTTCCTATTTGTAGGTGGAAATGAGAATTTAGCTTTCGAAACTAGCATCATACTTCAGTGCTTGTTGCAGGTACTTGAGAAAGGTGGAGTTTTTTAAAATGATGTTGTTGAGTACTTGAATAAAACTGATTTGTTTTATTTAATTTTTTTATATGCAAACACACACACTAAATATTTGATTTTATAATATAGGTGCATAGATGAGGACTCTTCCCTGATGTTTGACTTGAGGAAAGAAGAGGGAGGGATAGGAATGGAGAATGGAGAAAAGTAGTCTCTTTAGCTGCCAAAAAGACAAGATAGTTGGCCCTCTGTGGTCACAGGTCAGTCGCACAGTTTGGTGGTGATCCATGGATAACCCAAGGCATGTCTCTAAACTTGGATATATATTTCCTCTTGTACATAACAAGGAAGGAGCATAAATCTTGTTTTCCAAAATCCTATATTTATTTCATTTCCCGATTGCTTTATGTTGCAGGTGTTTTTCCAGGTCGGATCACCTTGCCCTCCACATGAAGAGACACATCTAAATATCAGTCAGCTTGGCATGGGTGTCATCTGGGCTAAGTGTTGTGAGATGAAAGTGGAACTCAAGTTACAACGTGCTACCTTACAGGAGAAGAGAACTTGATCCCGTGTAATCCTCTGTACAGGGGCCACATGCTCACACTGTCTTGCACCCAGTTATACTTCAATACGTACATCGGTTCTTTTATGCCTTGCCCCAGCTGGATGGGAGAAGATGCAGGCGAGGAAATGGTGTAGTGGTGAAGTCAGTGGAAAAGAACAATAACTTACAGTACTTCATCCCTCTTGGATTTGTTTCCTGGTTTTGCCAACAGAAATCAAAGAAAACACAGGAGGCTTCCCTGCACGTGGACAGCAGTAGGAGGGGCTTATCTAACTTGCTTCTCAGTGCAACTCAGTAGAAGAATATGTCGTCTTGAAGTTGCATATTTGTAGCACTAACTTTCTTTTTAAATAGATGGGGGAAAAACAATGACCTAGAAAACCAAATCCCAGTTTGGTAGCCAAAATTAACCTCTTGGTTTTTTTGTTCTTTGTCTGAGAATTCCTAATGTTCAGTGCATCAGACTTCTCACAGACACTTTGACCTGTCTTGGTTTTGGTTCTTCTTCCTAGAACTGAGCTATTGAGATCCTTTTAAGTCAATACCGGTGGCCTTAATGGCAGTAGACTGTGGAGTGACACTTGTGACACAAATATCCTCTTCTTGGCCTGAGTTTATGTAGACTTCATGGAGGATTATATTTTTGTTGGTTGTTTTTATTTTAATTTTTGTTTTGGCTATTGCACAACATATGCACTAGGGACTCTGGAAGCTGCTGCCATGATGGCTAAGTAGCCAAGGGATAAACCCCTAAAAAACAGCACCTAATATCTCTGTAAGCCTCACCTTATTGCCATAGCTAGGACTTCTTGTTTATTTTTTGAACAAAAAACTCTAAAAGCTTGTTTGGAAGCTTAAACTTTTTTTCTCTTTTCTCCACAAGCAAGTGATCTTCAGAACTCCTTGTCTTCACCTGGATATCAGTCTGGGACTGGCCACACAGGCATGACTACAGGATTCCTTCCACATCATATGAGCATGTTAGCCACAATCCACGGTGATTTAGTGGTGAATTTTGTTGCTTTTTCTTGCTGTTCTTCTAGTAACCAATTTAAAACATTAGACTTTTGTTTGTATAAAGAGCACCTGCAGAATGTTTTAATTTAAAGCTTATGTTTGTTGAACATCTTATACACAAAAAACCCCAAGCCAAAAATCCTACTCCAGGCTTTGAGTGGGAAATCGAGAACCTCTTCCAAGTACAATGGCTTCATTCAGCATTAGTCTTTTAAAGAAATTATCAAAGTCCTCCTTCTCCATTCATCAAGTTGATGCTGTAGCCCTCTCCTATATGAAAAAATGTAACCATGTGAACAGTGAAGGAAGGAAGGGATTTTACATACAGCAGTGAGGCTTTTCCAAATGATTGGTCTAAAGTATTACTGACCTAGAGGTCCATTTTGGCCTACTGTGTGAACCATCAAGGAGAAGTGGAGGTCTCATGCTCACCCTTCCGTCCTATTGATAATTTGATTTCGTTGGCTCAAAGTGGATTAAAGTCTTCATTATAAAGGAAAAAGAAACACAAAAAAATGCATTGCCATAAATTGTATTTGAAACTATTTGACACTGGCCCTGACTCCAAAGACTGCATTTAGGACCATAAAAATGGCCTATGCAATCAGGCAGGTGGTCATTAAGTTGTATATTTTGTATATTCTGGGACCATCCCTACAAGGTGTCTAGAAATGAAACGAAGTGGCACGTGGTCCACAAATGGTTGCTGCTCTTTTATACTGTATTAGCCAACTGCCCTTTGACTGTTTTGACTCATTGACTGTTAAATATTTCCCTTAATTTATGTTTTGGGAGGTAAAACTATACTCTTAGGGGAAAAAAGAGCAAACAAGAAACGGAATAGATGTTTAAGAGCTGTCACCGGGATCCTTGGCGCTTGAATTCTCAGCATTTTGCAACCTCTGGTTCCAGTGAGAGATTGAATTTACTCAAAAGATGCTGGTTTTCCTCACAGTTTTCGCAAAACACTGTGACTGTCAACTGAACACTTTGGGGACGGGGGGAAATACGATGTCTGGCCCATATGGCATGAAATATGGACCAAAATCTAACCATCTTTTAGGGACAGTGATGTAATAGTCACAATAAGAGCTTGAGAGAGAGTGAAAGAAAGAAACGAAAGTCAGAAAGAGAGAGAACAAAAATTGAGTTTATTCCAAAGATTTAAAACTAACTATACTCTATATGTGTATATATATATGCTTACATATATATATATGTATACATTTAAAAATTGCAGAGCACTGCTTGCTGACAATCTCGTATTTCTCTACTTCTGTATTTGCATACTTTTTATGGCCATTTCACCCAGCTGTTCCACTGGGACTGAGGGCCCTAGGATCGAATTTGTGATGGAACATACAGAGCATCCTGCCAGATCACAGACTCACACAAAATCCTGAGTTGGAAGGGACCCCCAGGGATCATCAAGTCCAACTCCTGGCCCTGCACAGGACACCCCAAGAATCCCACCATGTGCCTGAGAGTGTTGTCCAAATGCTCCTTGAGCTCTGGCAGGCTTGGGGCTGTGACCACATCCCTGGGGAGCCTGTTCCAGTGCCCAGCCACCCTCTGGGGGAAGAACCTTTGCCTAATAGCCAGCCTAAACCTCCCCTAATAGAGATCCATGCCATTTCCTTGGATCCTGTCACAGGTCACCAGAGAGCAGAGATTGGTGCTGCCCCCCTGCTGTCCCTCAGGAGGATGTCTAATGGGAACTGAAACCTCAGTCTGTGAAACTAGAGCATCCAGTCAATGTGTTAGATTGAAAAAAGGGTAAGAGAATCCTAGAATTTTATTACTGTAGTGTCCTAAAGTGTGTGCTCTCAAACCCACCACTATGATATTCATTGGCTGTGAACCTGCATAAATGTCCTCCATTGGCCTCTGGACACACCTGCCTTTAGACATACTTTTGGTAGTCTACAAACCTTAATTTTTAGATGACAGTTGAAGCACCAGACTATTTAAATTGGAAAAAGCTGAGCAAGACTGTTTATTTACTTCCAGTTGTCATTTATGGTCTTGTTGGCATCTTATTTAGATATGTCAGAACAAGCCCCATGGTTAAAAAAAAAAAAAGCTGAAATATCTGTTTACTTTGTTGTAAAGGCAGGCCTACATCTACATCACAGATCCAAATAACCTGAAAAACATAGAAAAAGGGGGATAAGAGACCTAAGCAGATTTCAAATTTCTCAGGCTCTCTCTGTAGCAGGTCTTGAACTCTAAGGCCAAGATTTGAGCTTTGGAACCATCGCTTATATTTGTAAAGGAAGATATTTTTCACCTCTATATATGGTGTACTCAGTCAATCTGTTGATTGGGGTTTTGGGTGCTCATATGCAAGTGTCTTAGTCGTTACTAAAATTTTGAACCATAACTGGTATATTTTAGAAGGAGTCTCTATTTTGGAAAAGCATAATCAGTGACACATTCCAGGTTTCTTTTTTTTTTTTAAATGACAAGTTTTGTTTCTTTGCAGATATTTTAAGCTGTGCACATCAAACTTGTGTAGTCTGTTATAGCTGGTTCCTTTCTGGGCCCATGTCTCCTTGCTAAAGTTGTACAGTTGTCCTCTTTGTAAACTATGAGTAGAATCAGACTAAAGAGGAAAGGGTCTGTGAAAGACTTCTTGGAAGCAAACCCATAAATAGATGATTTGGTGACAGTTGAAGACTGAGTTACCCAGCTTTACAAAGGAGAAGCTTAACCTTGTTTCCTTCAATGCTAGATTTATGCCTGCTTGCAAAAGGAAAGCCATTGTAAGAAAGTCAGATCGTGGTTTCCAAGGCCATAGAACTATATGGTGAAAACAAATTGAGAAAAAAGTCACAGAAGATAGTGGACACAGAAGAAGCAACTAAAACAAATGTGAGTTTTTTTGATTACCTAAATTATATTTTGGAGCAGAGCAGTCAATCATAGAATCATGCAGGTGAGAAAGGGCCTCCAGAGGCCATCTTGGCCAACCTCCAACTAAAGCCGGTTGCTCAGGGCCATATCCAGCTGAGTTTTAAAAATCCCCAAGAATGGAAATTCTGCAACTGCTCTGTGCAAGCTGGTCCAATATTTAACCACTTTTATGGTTAAAAAAAAAATAAAATTAAAAAATCGTGTGTCGAGTAGGAATTTTCCACGTTCCAACATATTTTCCTTCCCTCTACCACTGTGCACTTCCAAGAAAAGTCTGGCTTCTTCTCTACAATCTTGGTTAGGTATTTGGAGATAGCAATAAGATCTACCCTTACTCTTCTCTTCCTAGGGCTGAACCATATCTCTCAGTCCCTCTTCATCCATGATATGTTCCAGAATCTGATTTCCATGGTGGCTCTCTGCTAAACTTGCTCCAGTATGTCAATCATTTTCTTGTAATTGGAAGACCAAAACCAGACAGAATATTCTAGATCTTCATATGTTTCAGTGGTGATATAATTTATTTATTCTGGATTTTTCCATTGCCTAACTGAGACAACCTATATTTTAAGACAAGATTCTATTTTGAAAACTGACTAATGAAAAATCATTTAGGAAGCCACGGTATAAATAGTTTTATAATCAGATTTTCTGAATCTCTGCAGAAAAATATGCTTATAGAAATATGCTCTCTATACTGCCAGCTTGAGGCCTGGCAAGCAAAATTCTGTTTTTTCAACATGATCATCACTGGTTTACCTTGAACTGAAAAATGTATTGTTTCATTCATACTGTATCAAATACAAAGCCACATGTATTTTAGTAGTTTTTTAGACTAAAACAACACTTTAGTGCATCTTTGTTATGTTTCTTTCTCCCCTTAGGAGATAAAGTTCAACATAAAATATCACATGCATTTTATAAAGATTGGTCTAACAGCAAAGGAGATTCCAGAGTCCAGAGTATTCTTCATTATCCCAGAGCTGTTCTTTTTCAGTAGCTACTACTCAAGTCTAGACAATTATATTACCTGCCTAAACTGGCAAATAAAGAAGAGAAAGGACAAACTGAAATTCTAGATTCTTTCAATGTCTTGCACAAGGCCCTGAGCAGTATGATCTAACTAATCTTTCTTTTAACAGAGGGTTAAATTAGGTGACCTCCAGAAGTACCTTCCAATATTAATTTTTCTCTGTTTCTGTGATTCACTTCAGAGCTCTCACTGATTAAATGAGTACTGGTTCTAGTTGTTCCCAGTCTTGTGCTGATGGAACAGACTGTAGCGCAGGTCTGTAGGTTTTCTCCTAAATTGTGATAGTTTCATTCTTATTAAACTTTGTAAGGTTTCTTAGTGAGGGAAACTTAGAGAGGAGAGAATCATTAAAAAAACTCAAACCTTTAGCAAACCAGTTTGAAGGAATATCATGCCTTGAGATGCATCACAGCTGCAGGGACCAACCAGATAATACAGAAACAAGTTTGCTAGTCTGGAGGACCCATGTGATATCTCAGAAATGGTTTCCAGGACCTGAAATCTAAGCTAATGTATTTCCACAAAGGTGAACATTGGTTTTAATTTTTTATTTATTCTTATTTTCCTCAGACATTTTGGAATTGGGTTTACTTGTTTTTTAGGCTAGCACATTTTCAAATAATACATGGGGAGCACTGACCAAACACAGGTGGGGAAGAAGGACCTGAATGCAAGAGGAGCCCCCAGGTCCTTGCTTTCGGAACTTTTTTAACTTCAGGCATAAAAATATAACTAATCACTAGGGTGTATAACTAAAATGGAGTTGATCAATATGATCATTGCAGTGATTGAGTCTATCTTAGCTGTGACCTTTCTGATATCTACAGAACCAGGCTGTCTCCCTCATTTTTATCTGACCCGAGACAATTTGGGTTTTTTAACTGTCTCTAACATAAAGGTTGCTCCTCCTATTTAACATACTTTGGTTTTCTGTGTACAAAAGAGGTTGTAATTGGTACTTTCGACAAAACTGGTGAAATCCAACTTGCTTAAGTGTTTCCCTTTCTCTGCCTCTTCCCTTAATGTATGTCAAAAATCTTTAAATTTAAAAAATAAAAAAGAGGAAAATTTTGTAAATAAGTTAATATTACTAGGCCAGCACCCAGTGGATCAAGGGCTTTCATTCTTGATTTAATTCAGGACTTGGCACATTTGTCATTCCATCCTATAAGACTGTTTTTAAGCTTTCATATCTTGGGTGATGCTCTAACCTAAAACCTTTAAATTACTTTTTGCTGATTTCAGATATAATTGCACTTGTAAAGATCCCTACATACCAAGAACAAAAACAATGCTTGGCTATAACTTTATTTAACTCTGTCATGAAAAATGGAAATAGTTTTCTCCCAAGATACTACAACTACTCAGTCACAAGTCTTTTATTAGCATTAAAACTACACCTTCATGAATGATCATTTCCAGATCAAGCTTGGATGTTCTTCCTTTTGTCACGTTTGTGTCTCTTTTTATTAATAGTTTAGGGATGACTACTGCAGTGTTTCTCCTCCACAGCATGCACAGGTTTCAGTGGCAAGAAATAGCATTGTAAGGATTGTTGGATCTGACCTACCAGGTACCAGGTTAAAATCTGTCTCATAAAGCTGAGAATTTTGTCCTCCCTTAGAGGAAGAAATGTAAGGCAGACTTGTAATATATAATGATACAGTTGTATAAATAAATTATATACATAAAAATGTGGAGATCAGGAGTAGACTGCCTTTATCACCTCAAGAATTAGTTTTCCTACCTGATAATTTTCAAGTGCAGGCGTCATTTTTCAAACAGGGTTTTATAGTTTTCCTTAATGCTTGTTGATGGCATTTTTGGTGTAATAATTGAAGTTGGAACTCTGCGATTTTCCAAAAAAGGAAGCTTTGATGATTTTTTTAAGTGCTTTGATCCTAACTTCTATATACTGCCAGAAAACAGGTTGTCCACTCTGTCTCTGTGTGGGTGTGGATGTACAACAGTATACTGTATATACCTACACAGAAGAGGAAACTGAGCTACTGACTTACAGTTTGTAGTAGCCAACCGTGCCTATTGCTTTGATTTAGGGAGGGCACTTGCTGTTGCCACTGCATTTTGGGAATCATGTCAGCTTCTGTAGGAAAGTTTTCAACAGTGCTGGGAAATACATGTTGCTGTGTACTGTGAATGAGTAGGCTGCAAATTTGGGGATTGGGAGGGGAGGTGGGAAGGGAGGGGGATGAGGGCTTAGCATGTACACACTAAAAGGGATCTAGAATGGACAGAATCATGGCAATTTTAGCCTTTATTGTTGGGCTCTCGGGGAAAGGAAAAGCTAACTTGCAGTCCCTGGAAGGCCTGATGGCTGAAGGGCTGGACTTTATATTTTGCAACATACATTTTACCCATCATTCTGTATTTTAAACCCCTGACCTGTCAGATTCTGAAAGTAGATCAAAACACTGGTTTAAACACTACTTTGTTACCAAGGCCGTGTCTCTACCAGGGAAGCTGCCCTACATTAAAATATCAGTTTAGTTAAAATCACTTTGTAGC